CAGACAAATTTATATTTAAACTCTTTTTATTTTTCATACTTTAAATGTGATGCAATAATTAACAAAGTATATTACAATTGGTACTATTTAGTGAGATCTCACTTGAGTCCCGTTCAAACGCAGACCATATTCATTTGCTATCAATATATATTTTACTTAGGTTGATGACAAACGGAGTCAACGAACAGTGTCAATTCGCCAGTTGATTAACTACTCTGTGTCTATGTTTATATTTTTATTTAGGTTGATGATCAACGGAGTTAACGAACAGCGCCGATTCGCCAGTTGGTTAACTATTGTGTTGATTTGATTCTATTCTAGATATACACAGGTAGCACCCTCTTATAGGTAAATATTTCGATGAGTATAGAGATGTTGATTTCACATATACTTTGTTTCAAACCTAGTAGAACCCCTTGAGCTAACGAACAGTGTATTCACCAGTTGGTTAACTTACTATTAAACTTTTACCATCTTGGTTTGTACAATTTATCCAAGATAGCACATCCCTGTATATTTCTAAAATATTGATTTGTATAATTTCTCTTGAATAAACTTAATACAACACTGTATATTTTTTTATATTGATTTTTATAATTTCTATTAAAATACTCAAATTATTTTCACCCATCGGAAACAGATGTCTATCCTAACTGTCTTCGGGGTGTATGACGTGAAGGCCATGCGTGGTTTATTGGTTAAATTGATAATATTTTGTAGCAAATGTCAAAAGCCCTCGTCTAAACGAAACCCCGGTGGTATCTCAAAGAAAGTTATATAAATCTTTTGACTCACCATTGAAAATACAGACATTAGATTATGTACCATTTTCATCTAGCGTTGTGACGGCGTCGATTTAGGTACGTCGCTTCGCTGAGCTACAAGGCGCCTGGCGTCGAGGCGTCTAGCGTCGTGGTGGAAAGGAAGGTATTTAATACGGTACTGTATTGGGACAGATATACGGTAGAATTATGTAGGTGGTGCGGGACGTGATATTACGAAGGAAATATTTAGGGATGGCAAGCGTCGGAAATAAGGCGTGGGACGTTGAGCATCGAAATGAGTGTACGGTAGGAAATACTTAGATGGTGAGGAATATGACAGCGTTCGAGACGTTGACACCTTCGGGGATAGGAGGTATTGTATGATAGACGTCGTTTTAGGAAGAGCGTTTTAGGAAATTTAAGGTACTGACTACTGAACTTGAAATATAACTGGATACAAATAATAAATGAATGCTTGCACATCAAATAATACAATTGAATGCTTGCACATCAAATAATTAAAAATGAATGAATGCACATCAAATAATTAAAAATTAATGACCCGAGCTCCTTTTGGTAGGACTTTTTATACTAAGTTTAATAGCTTTAATGACGTCTTTATCGTTTTAGTTCTCATCGAAAATACGAGCGTGGGCGCAAAGGGGGTGGGTTATTTATTACTTGCCTTGAAAGCTTTGTGTATCAAAATATTGTCGAAATCGGTCTTAACATCGAAACTAGAAAGATAAGCGAGTTACGTGTTTTAATGATAATTACTTCGGGAGAAGAAATATGTTTTATGATCTACGTTCTCAGAGACACGTGCACGAAATTTGGATATTTTACGGACGTGGTTATAGATATTTTTTATTAGGTGTCGTAAATAAGATTTAATTATCTGGGAGATTTTTCGTTAAATAAAGGATTTTGAATTTAATAAGAATGCAAAATATATTTAATAAATGGAATTAATAAATAATTAAGGTACTTGCGTGCGGTAGGTTACAGTATCGAGGATGATAAAAAGGTTATCCCAATAAGAATCACCATTTTGCTATTTCCAACTTTATTTTGGAGCAAATCCAAGACAAAGTGGGAATAGCAAGGGCAGAAGTTTGAAATTGGAAAGGCTTTTGGTAGGTAGAGAGAGAGTTAACGTCAAACCACGTAGGACGGCTAGAATAAGTAATTTTAAATTGTCACCGGCGGAACCGGACAATCTCGTGTATTTATGGACTATAAATAATTAATAAACATGTATTATAATATCCAAATCATAATTCTACAAAGTTTCAAACATATTCATAATTTATTAAACTATTTACTCGAATTGTTATTAACATCAATAAAATAATTTTGTACGTCAATGTATCGCGTCCACTTCGGTTAGAACCGCCGCAAACCTGTCAATTTATGTATGTAAAGTGGGAGAACTGGTAAAAGCCTTTCCAATTTCTGCTCCTGCTATATAATAATTTGGGGAAACCACGAAAACCTAAATTTGTGACACTATCATTGTATATCCAGTCGTTAGTATGGTGTGAATCTGAGTATGAAATATGAAATAGATTGTGAATAATGGACCTAGTGCCGTGGGGTTAACCCACCCTCCACACGTTACAGATAGTTAAACGGTAGTCGGCTAAGTCCCATGTTCACCCATCCATGACGAGACCGGAGGCATCACGGCTTAAAACTGTTGCAAAAACGTGGATGCACACTAATCTCGCGGCTTGCCTCTCCAGTTGTTAACGCAATAACTGTGCTAAATTAGGCGGAAATTCAATGACGCTAAAACAATTCAAGTTAGGAAGAGGAAGTCTACTTTTCAAATAGTTGTTTTTTATCTTAAATAAAAATTTCTTTCTTTTGTTTAAAGATATACATATAGGAATGCTGGCTATACGGTCATAGTGGCTGCTATGTCTATAACTATAGGGTTGCCAGACGTCACGCTTTAGGCGTATTTTCCACGCTTTTTGACTTTGTGTACGCTCAACGCCACAGTACGAAAATGTCCCGCTTTTTAGAAAAATGCCACTCTTTTTATGCGCATGCCACGCTTTTTAATATTCAAAGCCGTATAGAATAAGGGGAACTGGATTTATAGAAAAATATAAGGTGAAGACTTTTTTTAGATAAATATCGGCTAAATATACAACTGAAGACTTTTTTTTTAGAAATTTCACAAATAATGGACCGGATTATACAGGGTGTTTCAAAAAGGTATGTCATAAATTCATACTCAGATAGATTACCAAAAAATTAGTGTATTTGGCTATATTTACCTATATCAAAAACTGGCTCCCAACAAAGTTACAGGGTCTTAAACTAACATTCAGAAAAACGTTTTTTTCTTGTAAAAAGTTTGCTTTTGCGATTTTTTCTTCAAAATTTTTGCCAGTGCTGTAGATTTGAAGGCCCAATATTCTAAGGAGAAAAAAAATTAAAGCATCCCTTTTAAAAAAATTGGGGGTTGGGTACACCCCCCCGTATTTTTTTTTTGACATAAAGAAACTTGCTTTATCATCAAAAAGAACTATCAATTTTTAAAATTTTCTTATAGCGAAATGAACTTTGTATCTTTCTTAATTAACGAGCTATTTAAAATTTTTTAACTGAATTTCTAGAGCAATTCGTCTGTCCTGGACTAAACATATCAACAAAACTAAGAGTAGATCAAGAGTTACTGTACAAAACACGCATATAAAAATCAGTGGTGTGTCTAGGGCTTTGCTTGAACCGCCCCTGCAAAAACTACCTCTTTTATTTATATTTTTGTATTCAAGGAGGAGGACATGTTGAATATTTACTAAATTAAATAGTTTATAAAATATGTATAATAATTATCACCGAATGTTTATTTTTAATTGTTAATTTTTTGTTGTTTATTTAAAAAAATAATTTTTTTATTTACTATTAAATTTAATAAATACATTTCCCAACTAACGTGTATTTTTATCAGTGGCATGGTGAACCCATGAGGCACACCATTTTTATGGTGCCAATCCAATATTATAAATACCGTTTATACAAAAATATAAATAAAAGAGGTAGTTTTTGCTCAAGCGGAGCCCTAGGCACACCACTGATTTTTATATGCGTTTTTTGTACAATTACTCCTGACCTACTCTTAGTTTTGTTGATATATTAAGTCCAGGACGGACGATTTGCTTTAGAAATTCAGTTAAAAAATTGTAAATAACTCGTTAACTAAGAAAGATACAAAGTTCATTTCGCTATAAAAAAAATTTAAAAATACATAGTCCTTTTTGATTTTAGGATCGATAAAGCAAGTTTCTTTATGTCAAAAAAATACGGGGGGGTTAAAAGGTACCCAACCCCCCCAACTTTTTTAAAAGGGTCGCTTTAAATTTTTTTTCTTCTTAGATTATTGGGCCTTCAAATCTACAGCACTGACAAAAATTTCGAAAAAAAAAATCGCGACAGCAAACTTTTTACAAAAAAAAAACGTTTTTCTGAATGTTAGTTTAACACCCTGTAACTTTGTTGGGAGCCAGTTTCTGATATAGGTAAATATAACCAAATCCACTTATTTTTTGGTAATCTATCTGAGGATGAATTTATGTCATACCTTTTTGAAACACCCTGTATAAAAATGCTTGGTATTTGAATATGATGCTCTGTCGTCACGGTTGTCATGCTTTTCACTTTCGTAAATCTGGCAAACCTATATCTGTAAGCACCTATTTTTTTTGAGAAAAAATCAAAAATTCAAATATAGTTTTAAGTTTTAAAGTACCTTTTTGGTTACATTTTTATGCTTCTATTAAAGCTTTCAAGCTTTTTCTTAATTCGTGACTCAAAGTGGATATATATCTAGTTAAATATTTTTTTGTGTAGTTGAGCAAACAGAAAACCTACAACTACTGCCTGTATTCAACTTATTACGCTGCTTTGACTTCAGCAAATTTACTTAAGAAAATATCCTTTGTACATTTGCTCAAGAATGAGGCAATTTAAATTAAGAATAAAATTTGTCAAGTTGGCGAAAACGATAGACTTCATACCTACAACAGTAGATCTATTGTTAAAACAGTAGGTCTGGCAACAATGGGTACATTGTATGAATGTTGGATCTCGGCCATCTAGACGTTATTTTGCAAAGTTGCTAACTTCACTTTAAATTTAAGTATAACTCGCTGTCATTTCAAGTAGCTCCTGAATCAATTTGCTAGTGTCAAATAGGTGGCGGCACGGAAAACGAAATAAAATACTTATTTCTGGTATATTTTGCTGTCGTCTGTCAAGACCTACTCTATAAACTACAAAATACAAAATATTCCGTCTAAAATTACTAGATGTGTCTGTGGTAGAGTGATTGTTTTTATGCCAATCTCACGTGTTTATCAACATTTCTATTGACTGGGACGTTATGAAATCAACATATGAACCAAACTGCAGCACAGGTGACTCCCACGTTTGTAGTAATTCTTTAGGTAAACATTGAAGTGAGACAGTTTGAAGAGTGTGGTTAAAAAAGTGCTGTGAAGTGAGTGAATCACCATGTCCACATCATATTCAATGACTCCGGAAAGCGATGCATGGGCCCTTCTCGCTCTAAAATCGGCCCCAGCTAGTCCTTCAAAGGTACAATGGAGCCCCGATGTTAAAGGGGATCCGATTGCTCGAATAGAAGGCCGCGAATTTGAATATTTCGTCCGGCAGAATCGGATAATTATAGGTAGAAACAGTTCACGTGGTGATGTAGATGTAAATATGGGACATTCTAGTTTTATTTCGCGAAGGCATTTAGAAGTTTTTTTCGAACATCCCTATTTTTACATGCTGTGCAATGGCAAGAATGGTGTTTTTATCGATGGAGTTTTTCAAAGGAAAGGAGCCCCCTCAATCAAGTTACCCAATACGTAAGTTTAGCTAATGTTATGTAAACAAATGCCGCTCTCATAATTGCCTGTATGTTTATCGTAAGAGGCCTTGAGAGGTTAAAATTTACACATGGTGCCGATCACGTGTTACTTTTTTGGGTAGGCTTTTCCGCTTTTCGTACTTTATTGAAAATCAATATCATTTTCTCGAGGCCAACTAGGCCAACATTGCGGTTTCGAATAAACACGGCGAGTCATTTTAGATTTGGAAATTGTTATTTATTGTTATTGAGCAGGTGACGTCAGATCGAGTTCCTGTATCATCGTTGACAATCTTATACATGGGGGCATTTAGATCAATGTCTCGTTTGTAGTAAATAAATATATCAAATGAAATATTATGATGCGGCAACGACTAAAAGTGCTAAAAGTTTTTCATTTTACTTTATAGCCGAGCACGTGGTATTTACGGTTTGGCAACCTAAAATTTTAATCAATGTTGTGTTTGAATTCAGTCTGACGATAATTCTACGCTGTTGTTCTGCAGCGGCTAGATAAAATAATTGATTTATAATTTTTAGAGGCCACTCACACTCGCTACCGCGCCGGACATAAATCGTGATAATGTTTGTTTGTTTACTTTCTAGAAGCAGAAAAGAAATCCTATAAAAACAAGTCAATAAAGCGAATAAAAGCCTATGCTGTATTTACTTTACTTGCTCTCACAATAAATGTCAATAAAATGAACGTGTTTACAATGTTGCCAATTTCTCGTTCTCATGCATTCCTCATTTCCCATGTTTTGGTATAGGTAGGGTATTTTTAATACATTGCATGACTTGGAAAAGAAAAATAAATGGTTTAGGTATCTAATAAATTGATTGTAAGAAATTAGTGAAAAGTTTTTCATGAGACTTAAATTTTTGTATTTAGAAATTTACAATATAAAATATTTAGGCACATTGAAATAAGTTAGGTATTTAGCCTTGAAAAATATAAGCAATGCCTATTAGTTTTAAATAAAATTTATAAAAACTTTTTAAAATAATGCTAAAATTTTTAGTTGTTTTGCATTAAACTTTGATAAAAATAATATTTTCTTTATTTACTTTTTGTTGTTTCTATTGGTTTTTTAATGTCCTCAAAAGTATTTACAAAAAATAACCTGCATTTCGATTTTGGTATAATACGATATACTGGTATACAGGGAGAACAAAAAATTATGTAATGTGAGATATCGGAAATGGTATGAGATAGGTAGGTATAACTTAAGGTTAAATGTTGCAATAGTTGCATAGGTATTTAAAGACCCAACGAAAAGTCACGGATTTTGATTTAATTGTTTAAACTATCCTACAGGGTTTTCCATATTAACCCCGACATTAAAATAACAAAGCAAAAAAATATATTAAATAATAATACTAATAAAACAAGTGCATTTTGAATAGATATCTAATTTAAGTACAAGTTTCTCTTGCAATTCTCCTATGGGAAAATTTAAAAGTAGCCTTTTATGTATTTTGGGGTTTGGCTCTGGGGGCTAGGGCATTTAGGGTTGAGATATTGAGATTAAACTTGGTATATGGATGTATTATCCTATAAACATAAAAATCGCATTAAAAAAAATTCCCCCTCCCCACCCCTATCTGATATGGTGGGGGTGGCAAGATTCTCAGACATATGATGAATTTGTTCTCATGGCTTTGTTGACAATATGGCTGATTTTAAATGATATTCATTATAAATATAATGGCATGTTACAGTTACATAAGACTCTGTAGCCATTGATGTCCATCTGTCGAAAGCAACAGCAACATATTCTGTACGATTCAGTTCATCTTTTAGTTTTTCATAAATCTGTAAATATTTTTGTTTCAACAGTTAATTACTCAAAGTAAAAGAACTTGGTATCTCATATCAGGGATCCAAGTGATTAATAAAATTTTTAAACCCCTCATCATCAACAATAGTAAATGTTTGTGTAAATGTGTCTCAATCATTTCGTCTAACAGTTTTTTTAAAGATGAACTTTCATATATTACAGTTCTCTTAAAATACTCTGGTATTGACATCATGGACACTTGCACTATAGTGTTACCCAACTGACTATCACCACTTGCACTAATTGCAGATGAAGTGGGTCTATCATCACTGGCAGACGCAGTAGTTAAAGTGGAGTGAAATCTTTTTAAGTGATTATTTGCTAAAAATAATATTTTACAAAATCAGATTGCATCCCACAAATCAGCTGTATAATAGTGAAATACTTTATGTAAGAATGTTATATTTTCATAGTAACTGTTTCCTTATTCATAAAAGAAAAATCTAAAGAAAGTAATTTCACACAGCTATAATACGAGAGACATGCATCTGACAAAAATCTAATTGTACCTTAGAATCTATAATATGTTGCCTTTAGATATCATAAATTCAAATAAAGTCTAAACAGTTTTTAATAAAATGTAAAAGTCATATAGCTACAAACTTCCAACCATATCTAAACCTTTTAAATAACACCTAAATTCTAGCATTACTGTAATATTTTGTTTCAATTTTCAAATTAAATTATTAAATATTAAATAATATGTTAACCTATTTTTAGATTTTAGTTTTAATTTTTGGTTTTGAGTTTTAAATTTAAATAAATTTTTAATTATTAACATTTTTTTAAACAGACTCTTAAATTACCAAGGACAAGTGAATTAACTTTATAAACAATCTTGTAATATTCACATACAGGTTCAACATCTAGGTGCAAAAATAATTTAAGGAAATTAAAGAACTATCAACTATTAAAATTATTTATTGTAATTGAATAAATGAAATGAAAAAAAAAAAAAACAAAAATAAGATTACTTGTGTTTCCACTTTTTTTATACTCTCTACCACACGTAATATATTTGGCAAATTTTTTGTCTTGGGACTTTTTAAAATATTTTCAGACAACTGAAAATGTATTTATTTTATTCTGCTTAAGCTTAGTGGTTACACTTGCAGTCTCGGAAAGAGACATATCATTCGAAGAGTGACCATGTCGCAAACCTTGTGGTGATCTTGATCTTATCAACTCCTCGTCCTAGTACATGAACCTTCTGGTGAAATTATTCCTGTAAAAAATCACCTTGTTAAAAACAAATACTTATAATATAAGTTACAAGCTTAAGTAGTTATCAAAATAGACATTATACTTGCTCCTTGTTCTTTTATTAAAAATTTGTCCTTTTAATAAAACGTACAAAATACAAATTAAAAAGTGAATAAAAATATAAATAAAACATTAAGGCCAAGTTCAATTTTGTTTTACATATAATCACGATTTTTTTAGGTTAGAAAATTGCATTATCGATTTTTTTCATTCGAAGTAATAAAAGACTTCACTTTAAATTTCTATCTCTTTATGTCAACAAATTTATAACACAATGAATTTATAAAACGTATGTCACTAATGAATATGTGGCGGCAACTGACGGCAACACTGTCAGCTACTCCATGGCTACTAGAGTACATACAGGTCCGGTATAAGCTATATATAAATGGAAAATTTATTTATTTATTTATTTATTTTATTTATACGGAAACTTCATTTTTACAATTTTAGTAGAATAACAAAATATATCAAAATTTCATAAGTGATACTAACACAACAATATCACATTTATGCCAAAACAACCTAATTTAATTTAGTTACATAATTTTGGAAATATGTTTTTTAAACTGATGAGATCTGAACTTAAAAGGATCGATATTATGTTCATTGTATAATCTACACATACCAGTGAGAGGGTTGTGCATGGCGTAGTTTGTGCTATTGGTGGGAATGTAAAAAAGATCATTATTTCTAGTTCGACGCGTGGTCGAAAAGTTAATTAAATTTAGCAAACAATCACAGTTAATACTTCCCATCAATAATTTGTATAAAAAGCATATGGAAGACTGCGCTCTCCTGGACTCCAATGTAGAAATCGCAAGGCGATTTAGTACAGGCTCATAATCAATATAATATGGATTTTGTGCATCGGTATGGACATTAATATTAAAACGCCAGGCAACAACATGCAAGAATTTATTTTGAACTCCCTCCAGAGCAGATACATGCACCTGATGATAGGGTGACCATACCACAGATGCATACTCCAATAGAGATCTGACAAGGGAGCAATACAGCAATTTAAAGGCGTTTATAGACAGGTCAACGCTGTTTCGTGTTACAAGGCCAAGCATTCGTGCAGCGCTGTTAACTACCATGCGAAAGTGTTCTCGAAAGTTAAGATTGGAGTCTAGAATCACGCCGAGATCCTTAATTGAACCCTTAACAGTTAGCGCTCGGTCATTTAAATAATAATTTGTTTGGATTGAGTTAAATAAAATATCAAAATTAAATGTTTATTTTTAAGTAAACGACATTTCTAAATGTATACGTCTTCAATCAAAAATAATATAAGCTAATACTCAAGTGTACTGGACAAGAGATAATTTTACCCTTTACTCCAGTTTTTTGTAATGAAACCAGCGGTAAAATAGATATTTGTGTACCAAGGTTGTGTTTTGGCCGAATTAGACATATGCGTTCGAGTCTAAGCTAGTTCTGGTTAAGTATAAGAGTAATAGGCAAGAAACGTGTGTTCAATCAAACTTGACATCGAGATAGATGTCACATAAGCAGGTGTACTGAAGATAAACTTTGCAGGACCAAGCATCAGATAGGTATAACACTTGATATTCTGAAAACTATGCATACTACACTGAATAAGAACGAATGGAAGTGTCAGAAGGAGGCTAAAGGCAAAAAATAGATGGAACAGAGCCGAATAGATAGATAAGTAATATTTTAGCTCAGAGAGAGTCGATGAGTGAGTGTTATAAATATAGTTAATTTATGAATGTATTTTTAATGTATAATTTCAGTTTATTTTCATTTTTGGTATAAAACTATGGCTGACATAATAAAACTCTAAAAGTATATATATTTTCAATCTTTATTACTATACATTATTTAGTTTTCATTTATTATCTCTGACCTAAGGAAAAGGTTAGAAAAC